AACAAATCCTTTATTCTAGTCATTAATGTCTTTTTCTTACACTGTCATTCTCCCTAAGGCAACCTAGAAAACAACCTCCATGGATCATGCTGTTTGGTCATCACAGAAAGTTTTCTATTTTTCTCTTCAATCTACCTAAATTCTTCCCATCTGTAATAATCCAACTCAAGTGTATCACTATAAGATGTCTTCTATGAAAACTATACTGCATATGTTTAACCCTTTACTAAATTACTCACAAACACTATCTTCTCCTCATAGCACCTATTTAAACATGCTCCTATTCTCTAATTTTGTATTGTCTTTTCACTATTTTATTTTCTTACAATTGTGAACAGTTGTAGATAGCAGGAAACTTAATGAATTCCTCTATATTCATAGAGATTAAAATCATAAATGAATCTCCATTAATGCTTTCTGATTAACTGTTTTTTAAAAAATGTTTCATAGAATATAATGCATTTTAGTGCACATGCCACAGACTCTGGATATGTTGAATGATTGATTGATTAACCCACTTTAAATTTATTGAATAAATATATTGTACTTATAAAGCTGTCAGATCCCTTGATTATAGCCTTCATGTTATTTAACCATCACTTTTCATCTTTCTCATATGAATCTTTGCTTTAGCATATATCAAGATATGTTGTCTCACATTCCAATTTTCCAATTTAGAAGAAAATAAATCAGTACATAAAAATTTTTAAAAGACTATTTAGATATATGGGTAATAAAAACGTCCATACCAGAATTTGTCACTAAATTTTCTTCATAATTTATCTCTCTCTTTATTACCAATTAAAATAAAATGGAATTTAAAATGTGGCATAACAAGTATTGAGAGGAAGGGGCTTCAGAAAACATTTCTTTGAAATTCATGTTACCTGAATTTTAATATTTCAGAAATAAATATTCAAACAGAGTTTTGAAATAAATAAGAATACTATGATAAGAAAGAAATGTCAGAAAAGCTTTGATTTTACTGGGTGCAAAACTTTGTTTCCAGTAGAACAACTATGTGCCCCAATCAGAAACTGTCATTCTAGTTTTGAGGGATGTTTTATTCTAATTCTCCTTCTATCTCCATATAACAAAAGTTACATAGATGGGTTGTAGCTACTTAATCTATTTTAGAGAAATTAAAAATATCTCTCATTTAGAAAACTGGCATGTAAGGTCCCTTGTCTCCAGGCAACAAGTTGTCAGGAGTCACACTGTCTTTCTGGAAAGAAACTTTGTCCTAAAGCAAAAGAACTGTTTTTGTCTCAGTTCCTGGAAATTTACATAACTATATTAGGGAAAACAGAAGCAAAATTGAGTAAGTTAGCACGAATAGAGTGGAGAAGATTTATATCCCCTTGAAGAGACAATTAAAAACAAAGTTTTTTCTTTGTCAACAAGCCAGCTTCCATGTTGTATATAAAACACACAATTCTTCCCGCTAGTAGTGTACTTGACTACCTTAGCCTTCATAGAGCAGTCTTGTTTTGTCCCATTTGCTCTGCACATTTTTTAAACAATTACCTTTAGTAACTTAAAGAGAAAATTTGGCACAGAAAAGTTTGTTAAAATGTACATTGAGGCTTCCTGCCAAGGAAACGCTATAGAACAGGTGCTGTCAGAGTCAGGGGGTGGAAGCAAAAGAAGGGAACTAACTGACAGTGTAAGCATAGGAAATGACCCCAAGCAAGGGAGTCTGTGCCTCCTACTGCTCCTACCACCTGGGCCCAGCCATCAGCCAGCCCTGACCAAAAGCCCAACTCACAGGTGTTTACAGATCCCTCTGGCAGGACTGGCCACATCCTCTGCATTTTTTCTCCCCTTTTACTAGAAGATACTATTTTGTGAACTTGTGGTTAAATTTCCTAACCAAATGTTGAGGGAATTAGTGGGGATTTTCTAATTTGTTTGAACTCTTTTTTTTTTCTTTTAAGTAAGTTAAATAATCGTTTTTGTCTTATATATTACAAATTCTTATTGAAAGGTGTCTTATCTGATGAGATACTATAATTTCTGAATGGTTTATTTGGGCTCTTTTACATTAAGGAAATAATCAAAGCTTTATTTTAATTATTAAAAGTCCATATTTACTTTTAAAGACAAAGGGTCATGTTTTTGCTGAAAAAAAATGTGGAATTTTGAAAATGTTCCAAATGTCACTGTAATTTGAACTTTCTCATTTGTAAGTTATTTCACCTGGACCAGCTATTGACAAGAAATGCATTGCAGTTAATAGATCAGATGCTATGAGTTAGTTCAGACCAAGTATTGATTTTGGAAGGATAGGGACAAACTCCTACACCAAGTTTTCTTGGTAAAGTCCTCAGTGCTCACTGTGACTTTGCGTCATGGAACACTAGGTAATTGACACAACCTGGTTCGATTATTCTTATTTCTGCCTCCTTTTTTACTTTATATTATACTTTTAAAAATCTGGCAGTTCTAATCTGTATTTTAACTGATTGCAAGCCAGAAAAATGCCCATTATTCCAAAACAACAGGCAACATGTCTTTCAGAACTGTCTCCTCTTCACTTGGCAAAACATTGAGATTACCCCTGTGAACAGCAGGGCAATGATCAGTTACTCTAAATTTAACAGATGCTTCTTGGCACCCTTGTTCATCTTTTCTTTATTGCTTGAATATTCTATATGTCTAGGTGTTTTGTTTTTAAGAGTTATTTGCCTTTGGAGAACAAAATATTTTAAGTGACCTTCCAAAACTATTGAGTTTATTGAAACTACCAGCTTATGACTCTTTATCCCTGTGCCACTAAAAAAACCTGAAAGCTGATATTTTCAGCAGCCCAGGAGAGAGTTCACAATCCTTCCAGAAATTAATGTGCATGCATACACACACACACACACACACACACACACACACACACACACACATACACTCCAATGGTTTCAGGGAAAATCTGGCAGTAAGGTGGTCATAAAATAGAATATTTTAAAGAAATAAACCCAGAAAACTGTGTCAGAGAAAAGTTTCTAGAATGGAGAATTTTACATAGTCAGAAAGATAGGGTCCACACTGAGTTTAACTAAACTCAAAGTATTCACACTATGTAATAAAATAATTTTGTATTTCATGAATTATAGTACTATATTTTTAAAGGCTAGTCATTCAATTATTTTTTACAAAAGAAGTTAAATTTATCTGCTCAGCCTAATATTATCATATCCACTTAATGATCATTACCCTTTCATCTTTGTATAGAAGAAAGTTTTTGTTACTTATTTTTACTATGTATTTTTTACTATGTATTTCTAGAGTGAGTTAAATGTAAAAATTAGATATACTGGTTATTTCTTTTGCTAAAAATTACCTCCAGTTATTTTTGTTTCCTCCAAACTCTTTTCACTTTAAGAGATCTTATTGACATAAAATTATTTTTAAATTATTTTAATTGAATTTTTTATTCATTTTCTGTGGTAGAGATGCTCATTGTGAATCTAAAAGTAAAGAGGAGATGTGGAAAGGAACTTTGCCATTTGTGATACCTGATCAGAGATAGGAGAGTACAGGTCATATGTAGTCAACTTTGAGGGAAGTTTAACTCTATTGGGGTTAAACTTTTATATTCCATTTTATGGTTCCATGCTATAAATATTGAGAAGCTGCTATGTACAAAACACTGCAACTGATCTTGGGAAACCAAGATGAATTAGACCATGTCTCTGCTCACACAGACCATATATCTAAGAAATAGATTCTATTTATATTTGTGTAAAGGAGGAAAAGTAGCTCAGATTTCCTAGTTATCTATCATAAGCTGGCACCAAAAATTTCATCAGTCTGTCTTGAAGTCTTTCCAGTTTACCTCCCAATGTTCACGACAATATCTGAATTCCAATATATGGCTCATGAGGATGTGATTTTCCTTTCCTTACTTCTTCAGATAATGTTCCTTAACATAACACTATACTTCAGATATCATGATCTACTTTATAAGCAAACTTTAATATTATTCTACCTTCCTGTCCCACATCATACCCAGCCTGAGCAGGGATCCCTACACAGGATTAGGTGCCAACCTCATTTCTCATATCCCATATTATCCATACTGTTTTACCCATCATGCTATGTCTTACATGCCTCTTTTCCTGACTGATTCCCACTAGACTAAAAAAAATTGAGATGGTTAATATTCTTCACAGTTGTATCCTCAATATAAAATACCTAGCACTTAATAGTGCTCAATAAATATTTATTGAATGAATGAGTGAACTGCTTTCACTTCTGTTTTCCAAGAGAAGACAATATTGCTAATTAGTCTATTCCATGATCTTTCAAGTTAAAAGTAGTAAGCTAAATAAATCTCAAATGATAGCACAATCTATAACTAATTATATTGATTAAAATCTCTTAAGTATAATTATAGGAAGATTTAGTTTAATTTAATATTCATAATAAAAAAAACTGCTAGCAATTTCTAATTAGTTTTTTTCAAATCCATATTAACTTAGGATTCAAACACCACCGTGATGCATTTACATAAACTAATTCATACAATTTCTTAGCAGAGTATATGGCTCAAAGTCTTCAATAATACTAGTATAATAGCTATAGTGCTAGTGTAATGGTTTACAATAATGGCAATGATGAATGTGTATCAATTAAATTGATACAAGCTATAAGAATGACATGTATTCAAGATGAATTTCCACACATATTAAGTTCTTTCAAAATATAGGAAAAGAGCCAAATGTCTTCTTTGCAAATAATACTGTTATTTGTATTATAAATTAAATATAATACCAAACTATTGTATTGGGGATAAGAATATAAAATACAATTGTATAATTTTCCGAAGCTTTGTAATGCATGGAATAATCCCCCTAAATGACCAAATATATAATCAAACAATTGACTATAAATGCTTTTGGCAAAAACAGCAGTTACAGAGAGTAAAAGGAAAAAGGTTTTCATTTTCTGTAACTGTTCAAATGTCTTTACAAATATTTATAAATGGTCACCAAAAGAGGACTTACCTGGGGTCACATGGAAAAGTCCCTACACCATCAAAAGTTATTTCCAATGTCCAGCTGGGAGATCTAAAATAGAGAATAACAAAGACAGTTTGTGACAAAGCTGACACACAGTATTCTGGAAGAAGTGAAATCAATTGTGACATTTTTCATTTATTTGTAAATGCCTCTTTGGCAGTACACTCACTCAAAACGACAGTTGCTTCTTGCAGAAAAAGGGAGGTGATGGTAAAATAGAGGAATCCTGACAGATGCTTTAATGAGATTCTGCATTAGGGCTATTCTAACACTGTCACCCAACAAGGAGCTTGCCCTTCATTTTCAATATCATAATTCAGTAATTTAGAAAATGTTATCTCTATAAAAGACTAAGCCAGCCAGTTCTTAATAGCCACCACTAGTTTATTTCCCAATGTCTTTCAATTGAAGAAAACATCCTAAAGCAAGTACCTAAATGACTGTCAGCTACACAGACTAATTACCTCTTCTCATTAAAAGACTACTCTTTATTAAAAAGAGTAATATGGAGTGTGACTGAACAACTGAATACACACTCTCCAGTAATGCAATATTTTCTTAGAGGTATCTTTAATGCCATACTTTCAGCAAAGGACAGATCATCCAGACAGAAAATCAACAAAGGAACAAAGGAGTTAAAATACCTCTTATACCCAATAGACCCAGCAGACATCTGCAGAACTTTCCACCCAAAAGCTGCTGAAAATAATTTTTTTCTCATTAGCATATGGAAAGTTTCTAGGATAGATCGTATGAGAAGCCCCAAAAATGTCTCAACAAATTTTAAGAAGCTGAACTCATATTTGGTATACATTTTAACCACAATTAAATATAACTAGGTATCAATAACAAGAAAAATTGTGGAAGCTATACAAATGCATGGACATTAAACTACTTACTTTTGAAGAAACAATGAAAGAATCAAAAAGAAAAAAAGCCTTAAAATTTCTTGAAACAAATGGAAGTGGAAACACAGAATACCAAAATCCATGGGCTAAAATAAGAATAGTATTAAGAGGGAAGTTTATAGCAATTGTTGTCCCTAGTAAAACGGTAGAAAGATCTCAAACAACCTATCACCACATCTCCAGGAACTAAGAGAAAATAAAAGTAAAACAACATTGGTAGAAAGAAATGAATAATAAAGATCAGAACAGAAATAAAAGAAACAGAGAGTAAAGAAACAATACCAAAGACTAATGAATCAAAAGGAACAAGATTAGAATGTTGAAAAACTATCTTCACTCCTATGTTTGTTGCAGCATATTCACAATCACCAAGAAATGGAAACAACCAAAGTGTTCATCAGCTAAAGAATACACAAAGAAAATGTACTAGTAAATATGAAGGAACACTATTCAGCCCCCCAAACAAAACAAACCAAAACAAAAAAAATGTGAAATTCTGTCATTTGCAACAACATGGACTAAACAGGAGATCATTATGTTAAGTGAAATAAACCAGGCACAGGATAGTTTCACTCATATAAAAATCTAAAAATGTTGATTCCCTAAAAGTTGAAAACATAACAGTGGCTGGAGAGAGTAAAGGAGGGGAGAGAGTGGGAAGGTATTGATCAATGAGTCCTGAGTTACAGTTGGGAACAAGAAATTCTGGTGTGCTAATTCACAGCATTGTGGCTAGAGTTATCAATAGTATACTGTACATTTTAAAAAACTAGAAGGAAGAATTTTTCACCATAAAGAATTGACAAAGGAGATGGAGACTAATTTAAACAATATACAATGTATACATGTATTGAAATATTAAATGGTACTCCAATAATATTTTTTGTTTACACATAAGATAAAATTAAATTTATAACAATTTTAAATAGCATCTTGACCAAATACAAGAACGAAAGTATCAACAGCAGTAGAATAAAGAAACTCTGTCTTTAGTTCTATCTCATTCAATAATGGATTTTGTAATTGAGTTCTCTTATCACAAAAATGAGATTAGCATTTCTTCCTTAGTAAGTAGAGCTATTAAAGCTGTTTTGATTCTTAAAATACCTGAGTATCTTATATTCTTGCAATATTTCCAATAAATATGGCAATAAGCACAATTTTATTTTCATAGATTACTTGTGGTCTAAGATGGAGTGTTGGTAATTTTGCTCTACTAGTCAATTGGCTAATTTTCAAAAATTGTTCAGTAGAGCTCATAAACAAAACTGCTTTAGAAGCTCAACGTGTGCAAACTCACAAAGGTCCCCAATGCCTTATGCTATCTTCAGTTTACCTACAGCAGTAGTTCTCAAACTTACCTATACATTAAAATTACAAAGAACAATTTTATAAATCTAACTGCAGACCAATCAAATCAATACACATTTTTAAGAGCACCCCAGGTGATTCTCATATACAGGTAGGGTTGAGAATTATTGACCTAGAGTCTGATTCTATTTCCAATAAACAGCTTCACACTGAAATAATTTGTCTTTGCTTGGCAAAGTCCTACTTCATCCTCAAATCTTTTTTCTTTTTTCTTTTTTTTTAACCAAGCAACTGTGAAGAGGAAGACCACAGGCACAGATTCAGGACAATCCTGATTAGCTTAGCCAATCAGTGGTATCATTTTCTCTGCCAGGAATTGATTTAGGGGTATATATGTTAACTGCATCTAGCCAGTGATTTTCTGGGGGTTTCTTACCAAAGTTCTCTACCTTCTAACAAAACCTTTTTGCTCTTGCTGTTGTGTACGGATGTAATGCCTGGAACTACTCTAGCCACCTTATGAGTATGGATGAAATTGGTCTGAGGACAAAACTAACACTGAGGATTCAAAGGAAAAAGACAGAAACAATGGACTCTGCAACAAGGCAACAATGTTATACAGCTACCAAATTAGTGTATCCCACTTCTGGAATTCACACACTACAAAGCACTTTGAGGTTGGAGAGCATCCCAAACACTAAGCCAGAAAAAAAAAAAAAAAGTAATATATCTCCAATAGATTTTGCTACAGGACTTTAAAAATAAAAAGACTCTACACATACACTCATACACAAAAGGACTATATCCCAATCCTATGTTAAGTCAAATATTTCTTTTTTGTTTACACTTTGAAATATTAAAGTATTATGCAAACTGATGGAAAATTGTTCACTTTTTACTACAAACTGAATATTATCTTACTTTTATTTAATTGATACTATTTTTACTAAGAATATTGTATATTATATAATATAAAAAGTTTAATAGTGTTTTCAGTCCTATATTTTTTTCAGAAGTACTACTTTGTTCTAATATATGTATATGTGTGTGTATGTGTGTGTGTGTGTGTGTGTGTGTATACACACACAGTGTACATTAAAATATTTTCTATGGCATACAGAAATACACCCATTTGATTTATGAAATTTTTACCATGCATATAGTTTGGTTGGTTTTGTTTCTGTATCAGAGATTGAATCCAGAGGCTCTCAACCACTGAGTGACATCCTCAGCCCTTTTTATTTTTTGAGACAGTCTCACTAAGTTGCTCAGGGGTGGCTTTGAACCTGCCATCCTCCTGCCTCAGCCTCCTGAAACACTGAGATTACAGGTATGCACCATTGTTCCCAGAAAATATGGAATTTTAAAGTGAAGAGAAATGAGTTTTTAAAAATATTTTATCACAACAATCTCATGACTTCATAATAATCTTGTTTCTAATCGATTCTGTGCATAGCTTGCAGTTCTTTTAAGCAGTATGTTTTATTCTCACATGTCTAGATTACAATTTTGTTTCTGAAATGTATTCTTTTCTTTAAGCAATAATTTCTTGGATCAGACAACACTTAGGATACTTTGAAATGATGCTTTATTATAAACCACACAGTTGGGATGAGATTAACTGGAATTTATTCTAAGATCTACCATGAAGTTTTAAAATGGTATATACACTGTACTCACCATGTTCTAATTTGATACTTAAAATCTGTTTACTTCCAAACTCTGGGTTCCTTTGTGTTACTTATACCTCTCTCTACATCCTCTGTAATTTCTATATTATTTATTTAATAATATAAAAAATTACCAATATTTTCATGGAGAAAGAGGAGATTAAACTACCTTTGGTGAATGGGACTCTTTTTATAGAGCAGAGGACAACATGCATTAGGAATAGCAGAATGTATAAGTAAATAGAAATGATCAAACAGGGAAAAATAGAAATTGTGAGGGAATAGTGAGAGGTCTCCATGGTACAATGCTTTCTCCCACAACCCATCAAATTTTCAATTAATTGATAAATTTATAACTGTCATGAAATGTTTAATGTGACAAGTTTCTTGCAAAAGACAAATGGGGAATACAGTTTGGTATAGGACCAACTGAGGGTGGAAAGATTAAAACTAAGGAGGTACAGTGAAGAATAAAAACAGTGTTGGGAAAAAAGAAGGGCTGAAAATTTTTTTGTGTGTGGTGGGGGGACTGGGAATTAAACCCAGGAATGCTTAACCACTGAGCCTGTTCCCAACCCTTTTTTATGTTTTATTTTAAGACTGGATCTTGCCAAGTTGCTGAGGCTAGCTTTGAACTTGCAGTTCTCCTGCCTCAGCCTCCTGATTGGGCTAGGATTACAGGTATGCACCATCATGCCATGCTAAAGTTGTAATTGAAATTCTAATTGAAACTTGGATAGGTCAGGATGAGATATGGGGGAGGGGAAGGGGGGTTGAGTCAACTGAATTTTCACACAGTATAATTTTAGAAACCTTGGTGTACATTTCTGTCTCCCTTACTATTCTATAAGCATCCAAGAATAGTGTTGCATCATTTACTCTTTGAATTATATCAGAATTCAATAAATGATTGAATTTGAGTGGAAGAGCCTTTTTAAAAATTAGTCAAGCTCTATGACCCATTTCCTTTTCTATTCAAGTATTTATAAAACTTCTCAGTAATGATAAGGACTTCTAAGAGCTTGAAATCTCATGGGCTGAGTTTGGTTTGGAATCATCTTTGTTTTTGGATCACTTTCTTCTATGCAGAGGTTCTAGGGTCAGCATCCTACTTCTCAACTTCTATTCATTAACACTGTTTTGGCAAAGATTACTAATT